ATACCCCGTGTATAAAAGACTTAACCTTAACCCTTTGGCTGCCATGGAATTTTTAGCAAGTTAATAAAAAATATATACATGACTAGCTCGTGCCGCAGCTTTCTCCGCGTGCCCCATATAGTAAAATTTCCTTTTTTAAACGTCTTTCGTTTGATATCACTGATATCACCTATGCATATCTATTTCAAGAGATCAAATTTTTGTTTTTAAAGAGGTGGCAATACTCGAAATAAATAAATGAATAAAAAAATTTATTTTAAGTTAAAGTTTTCTTGAACTTGTTTTGACAAATGACATCAAGTAAAATTTCATTTAACTTTTTCCCCTCTTCAAGTATGTGTTCGAAATACAACTTTCCTAAACATCTTTCGTTTAAGCTTTTAAATAGGTGGTAAGCCTTTTAATATATATTTTCGAAACATACTTTTTTGTAAACCTCTTTCGTCAAAAGATGTCGTATATGTACTGTAATATTTAATTTAGCTTAGTAACAAAATTTTCTAATACTTTCTAAGGCGTGTTGCGTCAGATGATGTCAAACGCTTTAAATAAAATATTTTCGAAAGATAGCCTTCATAAACTGCTTTTGTTTGGCATTCGTAAATATATTATTTAACCTAAAATTTAAATGGAATTTGGTTTTTGTTTTAGTTTTGGCAACCACGTCTAAAAATATTTTCGAACTAAATCATGTTACGTCAAGTGATGCCGAATTTTGTTGTCTTTAAATTAACTTACTGAATTAATTTTAAAAAAGGAGTCAAGGCTCTTTTGAAAAATTTTTTTAAATGATGTGAAATAACTTGTTTATTAAATTGAATTTGACGGCTTCAATTCTCTTTGGGACCACGGTTTTTTGGCATCATACTGGACAAAAGGGTCGAATTTTTTCTGATTTTTGACTAACGTATTCTAGGTGTTCTTTTGGGCATTGGCAAGCATTTAATATGCGTTTGAAACCCAAATACTTGATGGATATTACCCAGTTTCGATCCTTGGTTCGAGGAAAAACAAATTTTTCTCTAGCGCGATCTGTCAACGCCCTCAGACCATATTTTGGCCATGAAAGAGCTTCTCGCAAAGTACCACTTGCAAAAATTGCTTCTTCCATTTGTATTTGTTCTTTCTTTCCTAAAAAAATTCTAGTAAATACTGTAATCCAAAATGCATATTTAATGAAGCAATCTGATTTCCTACTAGTATGCCTATGCTAAGGGAGGATCTGTGGAATTCGCACTCTACAAAGTTATTACCGGGATCGAAAAAAAACTTGGCTTCACAAGGCAAAAATAAAGTATGTATTTAACTAGATGTGGAAGGAGTTTTCCCAGAAGCGATCGAAGGATCACTGTTCCAAGTTGGGTTGAGTCCGCTTCTGTTTAGCTTTGTTCGTCTTCAAATAATTCGTTTATATCTGCAGATATGTGTCAAGATATACTATACTAGGAGGAATACTTTTCTCCGCTTGTGCAATACAGCGATGAACATCCTCCAAATACTTACGCAGATGACCTGGCCCTAAAAGTAACCGAAAAATATCCACACAAGTTTTAGTTGCACTGCTGCAGAACGACTTAAATATCGTGGGGTATGGACGAAGGAGTGTAGTGCCAATCGGGTAAAAAAGTTAATGTTCCCTTTACAAGCAAAACTAAATTATGTACTTTGATTTCAATTTCCGACAATAAATGGTGTAGCACAGCCCCTTCAACTCAAGTGAAATTCTTGGGCGTTGAGGCGCAACCCATGAAGGGCATTACCGCTCAGTACGCTTGCACAGAGCGATCTCAAATCTCACATAGTGCACTGTTTTCATACGGCAGCCGTAAAAGTTGTCAAAGTACAAAGGCCGTCCTGCATAGTTATCGCGGATGCGCTGTCTTGCACGCTCTATAAACCTCAAGAAACCCTTCTCCAATGTCTTTTAATAGACCTTTTTGGAAAATTTCAGACGAGCTGTAATTATGTATGACTAAATTGATTACAAAATCGCAAACGCACCAGATCCTGCCATTTCAATGTTCTCACCAATTCCGCCGACACCGAAGACTTCAGCCTACAGAACACCTCCTTTCGGTATTGAGAACAAGTTCTCCACACTTACTCCTTTTGAGAATGATGGAGAATGCAGTTTGGTTTATCAACTCTTCTTTTTACCTGCGCACAGCAACTATCTACTGTAATAGCTAGCGGTGTGAAAACTTCTCAAAGTGGCAACAGAATGTAGGAAAGTCCCTATCAAATTTAAAACCGAATTTGCGTGTGGACCAAGTCAAAGAGATATACGGGGTAATTGCAATGCCAGGCGAACTTGCGAGGACGAAAACCTGGACATACTGCCTGCAAATCATTGCTTAAATTACATTTCTTCGATGAGGCAAATAAAAGATCGACGACATAAGCCACTTGTTGGGCTACCCGAGAGATCTGGCCCACTTTCATTCGTTTATAATATCCACTACTTAGGCTAGTCACCGAAATTGTGGCCGGCCATTGGCAAATGGATTAACCGACCAACGTTTTCTGCTACAGTCGCCGTGATGAAAAAACAAACGAAAGCATAGAGAATTATCTTTGCCACTGCTCTGTCCTTTCGTGGACTAGAATGCTAATTTTACCATCACTTCTTTGACTGCCTGGCGGAAACATTGGTTCAAACGCGCAATCAAACGCTACCACAATGGGCCCACAGTTACTAGTTCTGCCTCTCTCTTCTACCCGATGGAGGCAGACTGGTTAACCTTCAATCTTCTAGAGTAATAGATGCACAATTCTATGCAGAAATACCAAAATAACAAAAAATAATTTGCGAAATTAGTAAATAAAAAAATTAATTTAGCGCTGATTTTTTTTTTGTATCTTTGTATCTTGAACGGTTTAAAATCAGCTAGAATTGTTCTAGCGGAGATATTAATTAGCAGCGGAGTAAGCTTTTAACTACTAAGGGCAGTTTTCTATCCAGCCTGGTAAAGATAACCGGCGCTTTGACCGGTCATCAATTTTCAACAGGCAGTCGAGAAAACGGCCCTAAGAGCATCTTGGCAGTCAAGGTGTCAAGAAAATCTCGAAACGACAAATCTTTCTTTTTAGTATTACTTTTGTGACAAATACTTATTTATTTACGTACAAAAGTAAGTATGTATGTACCGACAAATATCAGCAACATTAAGCTGTAGTTTAATGCTATCGATGAATATGCTGCGGTTTTATGCTTATGCATACGAGTACGTATGTAAGTTTATATCATGTAGATATTATTTAAACTTTTTGAAAGTTAAAGCTAAACTTAGAAAAGTTTTAAACCAAACTAAAATTGTTTTCAGTCTGCTTTGAATGTATATGTGTTTTACCAGTGAGGTAATGGAGTTGGCTATAGCCGCTTCGCTCTGGTTGTAGAATTTTCTAAATATAATTTACACATATCATAATAATTTTGATTGAGTTAAATTTTATACAAACTCAATTATTTATCACTTAAAAGTTTATAGTACGATATATTTTATATTAAATGGAAGCAAATGAAAGAAACTCTCAAAAACTGTTTGGGTTTATCAAAGGGTAAATATGAAAATTACCAAAAATTGTGTATTTTAGAATTTTAGAATCGAGTTCTAAATCGATAAAAATATTTTTTGTTCCCGAACTCTAATCTGTTAACAATTTACTGTCATATATTATATAAGGATTCTGCGATAATCGCGTATATTCAAAAATAATAACACAGTGGTCGGATTTTAAAGTTGTTTTTTTGGCAACGGTTTTGATAGTTTATCTAACTTGATTGGAGGCCTTTAAATTCAATGGCGTCCCCCGTTTTGTAAGATTGACTTCAGTTCTACATAGATAACGGCATTGGGAGTTGCCCCTGGGGGTCCTTGAGAGCATATTTGGAAACAGCTTTACATCATAAATTTTAAAATGGAAAATCTTTTAAATTTTAATATTTGTTTAACGTAGGGTATTAAAAATTATTGACATTATTATATGTATATTGGGCTTTATATTTTTTAAGGGTACCATTCCTTTAAAAAATGTGTCTTAATAAAAAGCCCGACACTCTTTGATTAAATATTTCATTGGAATATTTCGTTTACCTTTTCTCTGTCGACGAAAGATATTTCAGTTTGCAAAGGTTCATTTGAATTGAACTCTTGAACAGTTGACATCCTCGCCAAAACTGTTTGTTTTCGACCTATTTTGTTTTCCTACTTTGATACCCAAACTATTTTATTTAACTTCTTAACTAAATTGATTTTGAGTATCGATCTATTTTTGAAAGAAAGCTTTTTTTAAACTCCTCTCGGTTGATACAAATTACTTCGTTTCACTTGCTAATTATATTGATTATAGCTTTTAGAAAAGATTGCAACCCTCTTAAAAAAATTGGTCGAAATAAATTGTTTGGAATTTCATCGTTTGACATTTGCATTGTTTTAATATTTAATTTATCTTATCAATTAATTGATTTGAATACTTACAAAAAAGGTGACATCTCTCTTCAAAAAATATCCCATATATTAATCCAGGCCATGAGCCTGTGTGCCAAGTTGTATTCAAATACATCCAGTCGTTTTAGTGTGAAAGAGCTGCCAACATACTTATCCACCACACAGTCACAAGCTTTCACACTTATATTATTAGTACTTACTAAGGATTAAGTCCTAAATTTTATGATGCCAAATTGGTTTCCAATGAGATCTCAGTGGCTCAAGGGAAACTTGAAACACCGTTATCTCCGTTAAACTGGAGCGAATCTGGCAAACCGGAGGACGCCACTTAAAAGGCTCCAATTAAGTTAGATCAACTACCAAAAACAAACTTAGCCCAAGTTTTGAACTTACACAGTGTAATCTGTGACTCATTAACGAGTATAGGTAAAACAGACCCCGTTTAGTTTTCAGTTTAATTCCTTATTCTAAACTTTCAACCTTTTCTAGCTATCCATTTTATTTCTAGATCCAAGTTTTTAAACATTTCCCTATTTAAATCTACACATTTAGTTCCCCCACGCATTTCACCATTCAGTTTCGAAGAGGAAATCACCGAGGGTATGCGCACCCAGCTTATGTGCTCGAGTAGTCAGGGGGATCAGCCGTTCAACATAACATGGCTAAAAGATGGCGCACCCATATTGGACAACGCTGTCCAACAAACACCCATCGTTAATATAGCAAATGAATTGGGTGGTGGTCGTTCACAGAGCAGTGGCATTGCCAGTGGCAACGGTGTTGGCGGTGGAAGAAGTTACAGTCCAACAGATGGCTCGCTCACCATCAACGAGTATGCACCATTTTCCAGTATCATCTCTATACATAATGTGACATCACGTCACAATGGCAACTACACGTGTCGTGTCAGCAATCGTGCGGGATCCGTTGAGTATACGGCGGTACTATCCGTTTCGGGTAAATTTGTGAATGAACTAATTGAATTAATATGGCACCAAGCAAACAACTAACTACATAATGTATGCAAATACAAAATCGAGCACTTGCTTCACGCTAATGCACTTTACAGAAATACATAATTAATTATGTACTTATGTATATTTGGCACCAAAACAGTATATGTTGCAGCACCAAATATTAATACGTATGTAGTATGGCACCAAATATTTGAAAAAGTAATATGTATATTGTAAAAAAATTTAATGTGTATTGTACTTTGATTTGAGGGAGTTATGTTTACATACAAAGGTATATGGAAGGAAACATCAATGATGTTACGAACTTGAACCTGACAACATCAAATATTTACCTATTTCCGTCTATAATACTGAAATGGTACTACTCGCATAAAAGGCAAGACTGCATTACCAATGTAAACATTTTAAGAAATAGCCATACAGCTTATAGCTTACTGAGGAAGAAAGTCTGTAGAAGTGGATAGAAGAATAAATAAACGATTTGTATGAAGCATCCCGAAATAAAGAAGCGTTCGACTATGTTCAAACAGGCCAATTAGCTGTTAGGCAATTAAGCTTTAAATTGCGGCATTGCGTTTGGTGTTCACACACACGTCAGCTGCGCAATTAGCGATACGAAATCAGCTGCTGGATTACCTACAGTGATGGAAATGTTGGTACAATCATACCTTTATTCAGTTTGAAATTACATTCGGTACAAACACACTAATTTAGGTACATTTGAAACGTAGCCAAATAACTTCTCAGGAAATCAGTTCTTATTTTTATTGGTGCAGGCAACTGGTTTAATAGCTTCCCTCCTTTGAGAAGTGGCATACAAATTATACAGAAGGGTCTTCAAAGTAACGTTACTGTAGTTGGTTTCACCAGATAGTTTTATCTCGCGCTGCTCGAACAGGTTCTTTTCATAGCCAAAATTTTTTAATGTGAGTGCAGAAGTTGATATGGTGTCGATGGGAATTGCTGTCCTCCTATTTTCTTTATAAAGAAATACATAATTACTTTTTAGGAACATCCATCTACTTTTAGGAAAAGTTTTCCGTAAATAAGGTACAATTCCCTGATGGAATATCAGCTGTAAAGGAGGACCAGAAACAAACAGCTGATTGCTCTTTGTTCAATAAACATACCTTCACGTCAAAATTAAACATACCTATCAGGGTTGCATAGAGAATCTGTCACAAATTATTTGCCAATTAATTATTGATTGGCAATTAATAATTTGAATTTTTGTATGGTAAATTGGGTAACAATTAAGGCTTAAATTGGTGAAAAGGTTCTTAATTGCCAATTAGGTGCCTATTTGAAAATAGTCTTAGCGACGAGCAAATGCAGTTTTCATTTTTGACAGGGCATTATGTCTTGAAGTTGGGTGCTGAAGACAGAAAAATAGAGGACAAAGAATAGAAAAATAATGAAATGAGAAACCGAGAGGAAATAAGAAAAAATTGCATGCGTTTATGTGACAAATGAGTAACCGCTGTCAAACTTTGCTCAATGCCTGAGTCGGTCGTTGGTTAACCATCCAGTAGCTCAAATTGACAGTTTTATTTCCACCAAGTTCTGATTAGCTGGCTTCAAAAATTTAGTTTCATATCGTCGGAACAAAGGGTAAAAAACTTTAGTGTACATATATTTATGTTGCCACATGGAAAGCTTACTATTGAGTCCTAAAAATAGTCAAAATAGAAAGAAAACTTTCTTTATAAATATTTAAATTATGACCGATTTTAAGGTGTTACAGTTCGCTATTTAAAATCATGAAAAGAGCTCATAGCTTACGAAACTTTTAATTTTTATGCGAACTAAATTTGAATTTAGTCAGGTAGAAATTGCCATAACTGTGTGCCATATATTTTACTTAGAAATATTTTTGCATTGTTCCCTAAGATGAGAGTTTCTCTGAATTACGATATGCAGAAGATGCAGATCTGGAATCGCTGCGAGCTTGATGTTATTCTCATTGCAAAGTAATGCCCACGCAGGTTTTTTTTTGTCTAGGATGACGCCCATGAAGAAGGAAACTCTCACGAGTGCTACCATAGCGGCATAGTAGCATGCACGACTTGCAGCCTCACGGCTCCTTTACGTACTACAATCTCTCCACAAACCACTCTCCCCGTGAAATTGCCATTCAAGGTATTACTTCACAAGGTTGGTTGGCTCAAATTCTTCTTGCGTATTGCGACGGCTACTTAGATGCTCAGTTCGTCTTACATCTACATACATATATGTGTGTGTGTGTGTAGATGAATGCGTGTGACATGAGCGCATATCTTCTGCCAGTTTTCACCTGACGCTAACATATAATCTAGTTTGTCGTTGTGCTCTAGTGAGGGCAAGAGAACATTATGTGTTTCGGGTTTTTCCTTATTCCTGTGCACCTCGAACGTTAGTTGATATGCCGAACTCTATGGAGATCTCTTCATGAGACCTATTCAGCCATTTTTCAAGGTTGGGGATGAGCTTGTGGGTCCATCTCCCTTTTCTGATTTGTCTCATCGTTTCTGCCCGATTACCATAGCTCGACGCCTTTCTTCTGTGGCTATTATCTTTCGCGTTGGACTATCGCTGTTGTCCGACAGGCGATTATATGTATATTTCCACGCAGGCTAGTCGTTGGAGTTTACAATGGTTGCCTGCATGGACTTCATTTATGTGTTGTTCCAGCACAATGGCCCGACATATATTGGACGGATTTTTGAAATGGTTTCATAATCCAGCTAGCCAATTTAGTTGTTTCCCATTAGTTTCCGCCAGGTCAAATTGAAGGTCTTGGCCCCTTGTATAGCTTTATCTAGGTGCGAGCTCCATAAGATCTTTTCACAAAGTACAGTTCCGGGCTATTTGGTTTTTTAATAGAAGTGTATTTTTTATCCCTGAAGACATGGCTCTAACAGTTTTTTCCTTTACTGTAGAAATCAAATATGTTAGTGTTCTTTGACTGCATCATTTGGCGTCAGTGTTCAGCACACTCTCTAGGAGATTTGAGACAGTCTTCAAGCCGACCTCTGTTTAATATAGCAATGTTTTCCGCTTAGCACTTGTCGCTCAATAACCAGAGCACTTCGCCCCCTACGGTCGACCACAATAGAGGCGATATCACTGCCCCTTTGGGTGTTTTTTCGTTGCTGAGAAGCTGTCTTTTTCCAAGGTACATCAAAGTCATACTATATTTCCTGCAAGAAGCCCAAAAATTTGTTTCCATTTCTGTTTAGAAATCTTAGTTAGAAACATGTGTATCTATTAGTATTTATCATCTGTTAAATTTGTCTTTAAATTCAGATTATTTAGGCAGCAACTGTGTACCCTCTTTTCCATTCCAGTTCAAAACGTCTAGGGAAAAAGTGAAAAGGCTGGAATTGAACTCAGTTCAATTAACTTTTACTTGCAATATTTCGAATTTCGCTTATTACTATATATATATTATAGAGTCCTCACAAATCATATCAAAGTACAATACATAGTACGCGACCGAACTTGTAAGGGCACTGCGACAACGCGTAAACGGGCTTAAGGGTAAAGTGCTCCTACAATGTGGTGCGCATACAAATTTTTTTAACTATCAACCACAAAGATATAAACATAAAATCATCAATTGATATGCACAAAGTAATTAAATTGTGAAATGGCGCATCTGCATCTTGAATTTTGGTGGAACATAGCGGCACAAAATCACAAAATGGCATGATAACATCGGCACTTGAGACACGACGCACCAAGCATTTTTAAAAGCAATTCGCAATCAATGGCACCGTAGCAAAAAAAAAATGCAAAAAAAGTGAAATAAATAAACCATTATGATATAAGAATTCCAACAAAAAATTACACAAAAAAAGGTGAAGAACCAACTGATAAAGTAAAAAAAAAAATAAATAAATAAAAGAAAAAAGCACTTTAGTGTTGACAGTAGTGTCACTATTACGCACCATATAATCAAACAACACAGCATAAGCATCACTACTAAAAACCAGCAAGCGCACCAATACTCTTACATATTATTTAGTTGGCACCATCATCTTCGTTTACATTAACCGCTAAGATAACGCTATTATTTACTAACCCCTATCATACATACAAATATTGGTCTGTATCCTACTTATTTGCGTTTGATTTCCATTTCAATTATCATTTAAACGATTTATTCTCTTAACACATTTCCATTTCCACCTTAATTTGCATACCTTTTGCGGCTATTGCGAAAATATTTATGCGGCGTTATCCAATTATTTGTACTGCAATGTATTTGGTTTATTTACTTAATCACAAAACGTTTACGGATATTTATTGAAATCGGCATTAGCGCTGCGGCTGCTATTTAACTGTAGCATATTTTGTTCATACGATTAAACATATACAAAATGTTTTTACTGTTTTTTTTCCACGAATATTTGAAATAGTACTTATGTATGTACATTAGAGTGGTCCAAAAAAATTAAGTTTTAAGAGTTTAAGAGTTTTATACCATTTCTACCAAAAATGGTTTTTTCTCCATATAAAATACATAAAAAACTTTGAGCGCTTTGAGTACCCCCTATTTTTTTTTTTGATTTCAAAATAAAAAAATAGGTGTATATTTCTTTCGATATAGGACAATCCTAGGGGGTGCCGGCATTAAAAATCCGACCTTATTTTTTTTACATACATTTTTGGACCACTTTAATGTACATATATAAATGATTGAATTTCATGAAAATAATTTGAATGAAAAATAAACTTGTGGGTTTTAAAGGAATTAACTTTAAAAAAAGATGATAGTGGAGATATGTTATATATAGATGGAGTGAATATAAAACTTATAATTTTATATAGAGCACACAGAGACCAAATGGTTTGTAAAAAATACTCAACTTAGTTGTTATTCTTATTGGTTGGGGCTATAACCGCCTTAGTGATTCTACCGGAGCCCAACAAAGCACGCCAGTCGTTACTTTTCTGCGCGCACTGACGCCAATTGGAAATGCCAAGTGGAGCCAAGCC